AGATGGCACACTAGAAACGATAAGCGACAAAGAACTAGGACAACAATCCACCCAATAGCCTACTGCCGAAAGAAATAGAGAAGGCCCTCGGGGAGAACCCCAATGGGGAACGACAAGTTGGGCATCCAAGAGTGACACGAAGGAGAAAGTGTGGGGGATGAAATGAAAGCTTACAACAATCATAGAGCCACCTAAAGAGGACTGCAGAGAACAGGATGAAATGGAGATGTGTTGTTGAAGAAGGCCTATGTTCCACTCGGAACCCAAGGTGTGGTGAGAGCAGGCTGCTAGCCGATTGGTTGACACTAATCTACGTTAATTTCTAGGTCACTAATATGGGCCGTGAGAAAATATGAACAAGGCTGTTTCAACAACCAATCACAGCAAACTTAAATGTGGACAAATATGATTCGCAGATAGATGGCTCTACTTTCCGAGAAATATCGAAAACAACCAATCATAAGACTGTGTTTGTCTGCTTAACTTCCGAGAAACAACCAATCAGAAGACTGCCTTTTTCTGCTTGCATAAGCCTTATTAATGCACATAAAATATATATAAATACGTGTTGATTTTCGTAGTAAAACGATCTGTTGCCAGCCCTTGTCTTCTGTTGTTACAAAGGGAATAATAATAATAGTAAAACTGAGAGTTTGAAATATTCACACGAGTAACTTTCTACCCGATATATGCAACCTTTTACAGATAAGACAGAAACGCAGAAAAACTAACTAAATAATTCATAATTTAAAACTGCATTACTCTAAACATGAATATATAAGCAGGCTAGATGAACAGTCGCCATTGTTTTAATTCAAAACAAATAATAACCTTATATATTCCCATGTGTACGAGAAATTATCAGTTTACTCCCTATGCCTATTCATTTTTAAATGCAATTGTTTTTTTTTTTTTGCGTCCTTTTCCTGGCTGGGCATTGCTTTTTTCTAATTGGAAAATTCTTATTTTGAATAATAATTTTAAAAAATAATCAATCAATCAATAAATCAATAAATGCAGTTTGAAAAGTAGATGATGTAGATGGAAAAAGTCTAAGAAGTAAAAAGATGAAATTGAGAAGCGTCTAAAAATAAACGTGTTTGTTGAACAAGGAAGATATGAAATAATAATTAGTATTATTCCCATGGGTCCTGGGTAACTGCTCTGAAGCACTGCTCTGCTTGACTAAGTCCCATTCATTCCAATAGAAAAGCCTTTGGTAAATGATTGTATGGTGCTTCATGAAGGATGAAATTTGTTATCTTTGTCTATGTTAACTCCAATATATTGACCATATAAGGGAATTTAAAATCATTTACCAGGAGTAACTCTTTCGCGTACAACTTTACAGCTAATTTCAATTTTATTATAGCTTAATTTAACACCGTATTCTTGGTACAAGTATGGAATTTTCAGCATGTGATATTGTTAGCATAAATTTTGCAGGTCGACTATTGATATATCAGGTGTGTGTCGGCAGAAGATCGAACCCAGGACGATGTGCATGGTCAGCGAGAGGCCTAGCCGCTGTGCCACCGACGCGCAGACACACCATACGAATAACAACAGTTACAGTCTTGATCGTTTTGTGGCGAATTCAAGTCCTGTCATTAGAATTTCCGTATACATCATAATCTAGAGATTGCATAAAGAGAAATGACGATTTACTGAGCACATAAAAATGTACCAGAATAAGTTCCAGTCTGTACATCATTTAGAATAAGGAAAAGAACTGAAGTGATTTGACTAGCGATGTGGTTGATTTGAGTCACGACGACTCTGGAATCTATTCGTCGTGATACTGTGAATTCACTGCCAATAAATAACAAGCTAGGACAAAACAACTGTTCAATCGTTCTCTCACCGACACTTTACAACGACAAACTATGCTGAAAGCATTCAAAGTCCTCTAGAAACATGTAGTTATGCACTGCATCAATTGACCCAGAGAATTTGAAATTTTGAAAATGTATAAACCGTTTCACCAAGACTAATAGATGAATTACAGAGACTGAGTAGATTATAAGCGGACTGAGGAATTCACTGTCTCTCATAAAACTTGCTAAGCCCACCGTACTTATAAATGTCTTGAAGCATGGGGAGACACAAGCGATGCAGAAAATATAACAAACTATATATATATATATATATATATATATATATATATATATATATATATATATATCAGTTACTTCCAATCATCTATCAGACTTAAAATAACTTGTCAGAAGTTTTGAAAACCAGATATTCAAATAGAAACATGCTCAATAACTCTTGACAATTGCGTGCTCTTTGTGATGTCTATGCCTTTCTTCTTTATCTCCCAGTTTCTTCACTTCAGCCTATCAAATTCGTACTTACCTTGTGATATTTAATGGACCTACACCTCTGTTCAGATTTTACTCAATCGTGGACCTATATACTCATCAATAAGTATATGCCAAATTTTGTACTCTTTTATGATTTAATGGGTGTTTCATGTCTTTCTGTGTGCGTCGGTAGCTCAGCGGTAGAATGGTCGCCAACGACGTAGGTGTTTCGGGGTTCGATCCCTGGCCGAAACGCTCCTAAACCATGCTAAGCCAGTAATAAAACTGGTAAAGACGGAAAGCTGGGCACGAGACCAACAACCCCATTCCGTAAAAATAAACACCACTGCTGCCGAAACTCAAGGCCTCTAGCTTGAAGCCCTATGTTCCACTGGGAACGTGAAGGAACGAATTCATCTTTTTCTGTGCTTCCTTCGAGTATCCAACTGTGTGATTGACGTGACTTTAATTATCTGTCACAGCACAATGGGATACAATATTCTTTAGGGAATGAAGTTTCCAGAATAATTTATAGCTTGTAAACCTGCCAACTTTCAAACTTTCTTCTTTTTCTAGTTATAATAAATAATAGTAGTAGAGTTTTTTAAATATTCCCATTACGCGCTTTTCAAGAAGAAATAATCAATAATGAATCAATCTCTCTTTCTTTCTCTCCACTTAAAAATTGTGGCTTTTCAGACTTTTTATCCTACCCAATACATGAAGTGATTACTAATCAGCGCATACATTGCAATATTTCCGATTTTTACTACCAATTCGACTATTGTTTTTGCTAAGAATTACCAATGCGCCCCAAATTGAATTCTCGTGATCCAATATCCTAATACAGTGACTACTTCGACCAATGGTACTTGACCTTATAATAATTACACAGTAATTAGAAAAATTAAATCATCTTGCCTAATTAGAACTGACAGATCCCACCATCTAGCCTATACAACTTCCCTGTGTATGTTTTTAATTATAAATGTCAATCTAAACTCAACTACTTAGAGATTTTTTAAAACTTTCGACACCCTAGTTTATACGACAATAGCAATAAAAAACAAGGTGTGATTTTATCATGAGCTGACATTGGTTAGAAAACCATTGGAAAACCTGGGAGTACTGGATAGCTGCTTCTTCCTAGTTTAGGACTCCTCAACAGTGAGAAGTTGTGACCAGTAGGGTGCAGCAGGTCGGGTGTAAGGACAAATACTCTCCGAAGACATTGACTAGGGTTCGCACTATGTCATGAATTGGCAGAAGTTAGAATTCATGGGCTGGCCATTGGATCGGATCCCAGTGGCTTAATGGTATACGAGCTAGCCTTGTAACCAGAAGGTTCTGGGTTCTAGTCTTGGTGGTGGGTGCGTACTGCTGAAGAATCCCAAACTAGACTGACGAAACAGCTGTCCAGTACTCCCTGATGGTTTCCCAATGGTTCGCTAACCAATGTCAGCTCATGATGAAATCCTGTAACTAACCAAATCCCTACAAACCAACACTTAAAGGTGTGATTTTGTTTTGCTTCCATCCTATTTATGGTGATATTCTGACTACCATTCACCTACAACTTTGTTCACGATAAACCTTTGATTGATTATAATTTTAATAATTATTGATATGTGTTACTATTTGTCATAATGTTAGAATTTAATTCGCTAGTGAAACTCTACACTTTATCAGTAATAAAGATAAAAATTAGTGGTGAAATTGTGGCTCAGTGATGGTTGAGACTGTCGACTACAAATCATTGGATCACAGGTTCACGTGCCACTGTAGTCAGGTAGTATAGATTCATATTTGCAATTTACAAATCACAGACACTTCGAGGATGTGTCATTTCACCACAATTTGTTTCCTATGAAAACCGAGGATATTCAGACGACACGATGTGTTGTGAACTGCCAGATAATATAGTGGAAAGCAATAAAGCAAGCATAAATGCATTATAGTATACACACACCAGTGATTGCCTGGTATGCATAGTCGGATACCAACAACGCCAACCCGTACAGCTCACTAACTGGAATGAAAGGATCCAAGCACCGGACGGACAATTTTCTCGTCAAGGGCTATGATCAACTCGAAACAGCTCAGTGAATCGAATCCCAGCCAGCTAGCTTACTTGGGCACAAACTAGTAGCACCTTAATTCAAATTCGCAATTGACGAATCACACACACACAGTTTTCGGAGGGAAATCGAACTACAGTTCCGTTTAGAAATCGAAATTATGCAGATTCACAACGAACGAAAAAGGCCGTCATTCGGTGTTTAGTTCAATTCGTCCTGGGGTGTGTGTGTGTGTGATAACCAGCTACTCACACCAATCAGTCAGCGGTATAAAGCACCATGTATTTAGCCTTCACATCGTATGCATGCCATATTGCCAACTGCATAAAATGCATGTGATTACTAAGTTATCGGTTAATACCAGTGGTGTATCTAAATCATCACTTTCTCTTTTTCGTAACTTTTCTTGTTTATTTTTCAAATTTAAAACGTGAACTGAATTCCATTCACCTTTATGTTTATGTAAATGAAGGGAAATGTTTGACTATAGTTTGATTTCAGTAAAATAAATCAATCCAGTCGAATGCTACACACACAATTAGGCAAGTGATCATAATGCTTACATGCATACCGGCTCATTCTATCTGTATAAATAAATACATATAGGTCTTACCTGCAACACCTCCCTCAGAATTGAAAACCAATGCGTTAACTGTGATGTACCAGTTGCATGCAGCATTCCAATCAATGTATCTTGAATATCTCGACGAAGTTGATAGTCCATTTCAACATCTAACAAACTGAACAGTTGTAATTCTAGTTTTGTATTACAATTAGTGAAATTAGTCTTTGACAAATCTCCATTATTGTTATTACTGTCGTCTTTGTTGGATAAAGTTGACAGGGTTGATAATGCAGGTGGAAGTAATTCATCTGATGATAGTGTTGACCGTGTCATATACCCATACAAATCCATAGCTTCTTTTTGACTTAATTGTCTTAAACACGATAAGGCTGCACGTCTTAGAACTAAGTCGGAACTAGTCAAACTTGCCTAAAAAAAGAAACCGGATTACAAAAAACAAACAAAGAAAAAATAAAGATGAATTCACAGTTGAATAAAATTAGGCACTTATTTATTTAAACATATACATTTCTTAGAGAGAGAAAACAGTATAAACAAGCAAAAACAACCATTCATGAGAAGAATTAAACATGAAATTGGATGGAACATGTTCACTTTAAAGAAATAAATAAAAACAAATAAGCTGGCTGTGTAAAAACATTTCATCAAAAGACATATACCCCCAAGCCAACCTATCAAACCAAAAGCCCCAAAGGAAAGCACAAAGAAAATCGCCTTACCATATATAAAGGATATCTCAGAAATCACTACAAGACTCTTCAAACCTTTAGGAATTCACGTCATACACAAACCAACAAAGTCACTACACTCAATTCTATGTCAACCAAAAGATTCAACAGCGAAAGAAGATAAAACCAACATCAACTACAAAATAAATTGTAACAACTGCGAAAAACACTACATTGGCCGAAGTGGATGTCCCCTTCGTCTTCGCATCCACGAACATAAGCTAGCTGTCAAAAGACATGATATTCATTCCCGATATCACTACATACAGACAACCACGGACATCAATTCGACTGGGACAACCAACGTTCGAATATTAGACAGAGGAAACAACAAGAATGCTAGAAAATTTTTAAAAGCAAAGCTGGCATTCCAGTGAATCATCAATCAATAGACACATAGAGATAGACAACCGATAAGAAAGAAACCCCACACACAAAGGGTCAAACTTCAAGTCAAAGAAACAATCAGTTCCAATACAAGTAACCTAGAAGGTGTGAAAACACACAAAAACAACCAATCACGTCCAAGGTCATCAAGAGAGATGACTAATAAACTCGTGGAGAAATCTAAAAGCTCACTTCGATGAATTGAAGTATGCGCTGAAGATGTCGCCTAGTAGGGCAATGAAAGTTTCGCAAATTACCTATCCAGCTCAGAGAACACAATCATATCAAAACCATCCACCTGAGCTACAAATCTTCTCTATCACATCTACATCATATCCATTCTCCCATATCAATAGATGTTAACATCTACGGATACCGATTCCAATGAGAAAATGTACAAAATTGTAGACTGAAGAAATGACAAAAATGCCAGGAAATTCTAAATAGTTTGATACTAAGATGAATCTGCAATCACTAGACACATTAACATGGAATAAATTCATCTACTTATAAAGGGTATTTCATACGACTATAAAATATTCAAAAGTTTCTAGGTCAATCAGAATGATCGATACTTAGATAAGTTAACAACTAATCGCAACCAAAGTCATTGAAAAAGATAATAATATCATTTGCAAAGAATTCAAATAAGTCTCACTTCATACTGAAGTCTGCACTGAAGATGTTGTCTACTAAGAAAGCTTCGAAAACAAACCATTCATTTCATAGAACATAACTACACTAATATTGGTTACGGAATTTCACCATGAGCTGACATCAGTTAGAAAACCATTGGAAAACCAGCATGGAGCACTGGACAGCTGTTTTTTCGGCCTAGTTTGGGACTTTTCAGAAATACGCACCCACCGACAAGATTCGAACCCAGGACCTTCTGGTTACAAGGTGACCTGGTAGACCCTTAGGCAACTGGGACTCGATCCAATGGCTAGCCCATGAATTTCAACTTCTGCCAATTCGCCAGACGGCGCGACCACTGGCCAATTTCATCGGTGGCAAGTATTTGTCCTCAGACCCGACCTGCTGTACCCTACTGGTCATAACTTCGCGCTTGAACCCAATGTAGCATTTCTTTAGGTGATTTTACTTAGGTAAACAAGGAACTCTAGATACTTTTCAGAATAATAATATAATATGCTGAAAAACAAACACATATTACAGAAAAATGATTGAAAAATAACAAATTCTTGGACATTTAACAGTTTACAATTTCTATTATAGATGACGAGAAATGAATAAACAGAACTCTACAGGTTGTCTGTCTGTTTTAGACAAGATTGAAAAAACACTTTTGATGTTTATAAAAAATGTAGGTAAGTTATTTGCATAGTGACAAACACACATACAGAAACGAACAAAATAAATTACATCATTCTCAATAATCGATGATGTTTGTTTTATAAGTAGCTTAAAAATCCCCATTGAGTCGTATGAAAAAGAAGAGGAGACGTTCAGCGAACAGACTCCTTTCGACGGCGAATTCATTCACATAGTTGTAGAATCGCATTTGTATACAATTATTTGTGTGTGTATGTATATGAGGTTTGTCGAGTTTAGATAATTAATTTTTATTTTATTTTTGATCACAGCTTGATTTCACAAAGTATTCTTTAGTACAGGTATGGAATTTTCAGCATGGATATCGGTAGCCCAAATTTTGAAGGCCGACCATAGATATCAGGTGTGCGTTGGCAGGGGATCGGACCTCAGACCATGTGCATGGTCGTCGAGAGTCCTAACCACTGTGCCACCGACGCACAATTAGGTAATACAAGAATGATCTAATATAGAAACAAGGTTAATTAGACAGCGACTAAGGTAAGATTGAGTTAGTAAGTTAGATGACACAGTAAAATTGAGTAAAATGTTACAACTTGGGTCAGGATACCAACAGAGGTAATTACATGTAGAAACTAAGTAGGGGTGGGGTAGAGAATAATGCCATTTAAATTAGGACTAAAATTAAGCAAATAAATTGAACAACGTAACATAAATGACTAGAAACTGAGTGTTGGTCAAGTCAGTAACAGTGGTAATCAGGTGTAGAAATTAAGTCGGGTTCGTTGACATATCATCCTCCTCTTATATGAAGATGACATTTATAAAAAATCAGTTTTAAAAAAATGCATTTTAATTGTTGACTGTCCTCCGTTGACATGTTGGCTCCTAGTATGGACTCTTTAACGATGTTTGAGTGTTCACATGATGTTACTCGGTGAACAGGAGCTAACAGTGGAATCCAGGTTGTGCATTTTACCCTGTTTGGGACTCGTCAGTTGGATATGACTGCAATCCTCTGTGACTGACAAAGTTCTTGTACTCAGTGCCTATCGTTGGCGTTTAAAACGATAGATGTGCATTCGAGTCTCAGTGGGAACATCATCATTCACTGAGGATTGCAGATATGTAAGGCTGAAGAGTTCTGGATTCCAATGCTAATGACTATCTACCAAATAACATGTATTTTAGTCCTCTATCTCCCTTATCCCTGCCCCCTACTCCTTCCTGTCAAGCATGTTAAGTTGCACAAGCGCACAAGATGAATTTATTTCACTTCACTAGATTTTTATAGCCCAGATTACGAAATCTAAATAAATATGTACATAATCGTTCGTAGGAGAAAAATAACAGTTACAAAAAACAACTAACATACTTTATGTTATTGTTAATCGGCTGGAACACAAGTTGTTGTTTTTTTTTCTACAGTAAACTTGCAAGTTTATTGATCATGTAATTACTTCGTTACGAATGGCTACCAGAAAAGTTTAGCAGGTGCGTACCATCCTACAGCTGGATATACAAGCATACCCAGTGAATGATGCCATCCCCAATGAGATTCACTTCAAACGACAAATTGTTATCCACAACGTCACTGGGCCACGACTGTACCGGGTACCAGTTGAGATTTATTAAAGTTTCTTTGAATTCTCTGTCGATTGAATATAGGGGATCGAAATGCTTGATCATTTGTTGAAGCGTCGGTGGCACAGTGGTTAGGACTCTCGCTGACTATGCATATGGTCCGGGGTTCGACCCTCTGCCGACGCACACCCGATATCTATGGTCGGCCTTCAAAATTTGGGCTACCGATATCACATGCTGAAAATTCCATACCTGTACCAAAAAATACTTCGTGAAATCAAGCTGTAACCAAAAATATAAAAAATATAGATTAAGGATATCTCCTGGAAGAATAAATCCCGTCTTCTCGCAGTAGTGTGAGTAGAATATCCGAGTTATTATTATTATTTATTTAAACGCAGAAAAGACTTGGTACAATATGGCACCAAGAAAGATGCGCCACACAATAAGATTGTGTGAGGGCTGAGATACTGCCCGGGCGCCCAGACCGAAGCAGGTGGTTTTCTCAAGGGACCACCCCCCCCCGAGCCTTTGACTTGGAGTCTAATCCTCAAGGCAGCGGAGCAGCGTCAGGAGCTGCATTCCCATGGTTTCCGGTGACCCATATGGGTTCATACGCCATTTGATCCGATTGAATTCTGGAGCCCATGTACCCCATGGAAACTGCTTTTAGTCTAACCGCTACCCAAACAATCTTCCTGACATGGTAGGACCTGCAAGAACATGAGTCCCAGCCAGCTTAGCCTGTAGGGTCACTGCGGTATTCAAGCCCGACCACCATGGCAAAGTAGCAGTTGTCGACCGAGTAGTCAAGTGAAAATTATCATTTCTAAAGGTACTGCGAGAACATAACCGTAAATTTTAAGGCTTATAACCGATCAGCTGACGAAAACCATGAATGAAGGATTATTTGGCAAAATGAGAAATGAAGTGATGCCATTCGCTTTCAAAAAAGTTCAGTTAATACTATCATACCAGCCTTAGTAGTAGTATGTGGTATATTATCAGACGAAAACAATGGAGATAAATCGTCTTTACAATAACCCAGTTATGTCCACACTGAGAAAATTAATTCTATTCTGAAGTCAATCAATTACAGAATTCATTATTGAAGTAGACGTTTACATTACCCTTGATTTATCACCATAGTGTAGAGAGTTCGAACATCTGTCAAAAGTGGAGAGTGCAGTGAATGTTCCTATCGTCCCTGACAAACTAGCATCCACCAGGTTATAACAAGTATGTTAATTTTATTCCATCAAAATGTAATCATGAAATTCATTTTAATATGGAGTTATTCTAGTTCTACACAAAATATTTTCGGAAACACTATTCAACATCTAAACAAGGAGCGATATGACTGAAGATAGAATCAATACACCCTTTTCCTAGTCTAAAGCCTGTCTGGTTCTC